GAATTTCATCAACCAATATTCTAGATCTCAAACCCATCATAATCATTCTTGTTTTCTGACCTGTTACTAGTCACTGCCTGGAATGTAGTTGACCCTGCTTATTGAGCTGTAAACTAGAGCCCATATCATCCTTAATTTAAACTTACTTTAAGTTTGGGTATTCACTTCTGTTAAATTTTATTTCCTTTTCTTTCCCTCAGCTAGCCCACTTTCAATGCCTAACCCATTTTATGGAAGCTCAGCCCACTAGTGTTTAAATTTCTCTTGGGGTAATAAAATTATTTTTTTCCTTTTCAACTGGATTCCCTTTTTATTCTTCCTACTGGCTCGGCCCACCGTATTAGGGCCCCTTCTTTTTTCTTTAATTCCCTTCAACCATTGAAACCCAACCCACTTAAAATCTTAATCTCCTCACTGAGCCCGTTTCTCTTATGAGCTTGGTCTGCCTGACCTCTCTTTGGTTACAATATTATTATTGTTATTTTTTACTTCATTTTCCTCCTTTATTTATTTACTAAACCCAACTAGATATCCATATGAACTCGGGCTCGGGCTAATGGAAACTAAGTCCTGGACCTCACGGGTACATCAACCCGACCCACCACACTGACCCCTTCTATCGTCTTCAACCTTGAAAACCCTAATTGAATATTTTTTATCCCAGCCGACATCATCACTTCAAACATCCAACAACTTCATATTTCACCCATTCATCACAAAATTATTAATGATATTCACACAATCATCAAGATCACAATCTTATATCAAAAGGATAGGTTTAAATCAATTATATTAACTTAGATATAGGGATTTGGAGTATAAACTACTCTTACCCTCGACAAGGTGATCCACTGCAGTTTTAACTACACTTCTTTACCCAACCTGAAAAACCCATCACCAATTCGTCTTCATTTACAAAAGAAAAAGATACTGAACGAGAGGAAAGGGTTAGACTACGGCTTACCTACTAAGGGCTAGCCTCGCTGCGACCTACCTTGGTTGTTCGACGAACAAGGCACCGAAATATCTTCTCTCTTCCTCTTCACTTTCATGCATCTCCCCTATACTCCTTTCTGCCGTCGCTCCTTTGCTCCTTGGGTTTTTTTTGTGAACATGAACCTTTATATAGTAAATAGAATAAAAGGGGACCATCTATTGTGAGATGAGATGTAGACCGTTGATTTTTCGAAACGGCGTCGTTTTGAAGCAGAGAGGCTGATTTTTGAAAATTACAGAATGACCCAAAATCCAGTAATTTTAGTCATTTAGGTTTTTATTTAATTACAGAGTAGCCTAAACTTATAAATTTGTTTTCAATTTGGTCATTTTCCCAATTTTATTGTTTTTTTAAGATTACATTTTTTTATTTTTTATATTTTTAGGATTACTCTTTTTTTTTTTACTTTCAAAAATACCACTAATGCTTAAATAAACTTTATACAACATAAATTCACATTCAAATTCTAACTTACGCAAGCCGGATCATTACATAGTTATGTGTGTATATATATACACACATGGAAAATAAACATACACAATTTATCTATATATATATTTGTTTCCCTTTATACAATTATAACAAATTTATGCAAATAAATATATCTTCACAGATCATTTATAGTTTTTATATATATATATTTATATCTCATTGTATAATATAATAGATAGACCATATATATCCTATATAAGTACATATATAGGAATAAAAGTTAATTTTGCTTACCCTCTCACTACAGGGATTCGTCAACATATCTCTATTTAAATTTAAGTTTTTCATTCTAAATCAAGGAAACCCATAGGGTATTTGCCTTAAACATCATGTATACCATGGTTTAAACAATTTAGAAAAGAATAACATAAACAAAGATAACAAAGAAAATAAATAGTTTGCCCCCATCGGTTAACCTCTATGCTTCACCTTTTTATAGAGTTAAATGTTTCATTATGACATGTTTTAAGTTGAATCTTAGATAAATAGATCTAAAAAACAACCATAATTAGTATTCCTACCTTAACCAAAACAGAAAATGGTTAGGCTTCACTATGGAGGATGGACTTCCCCTTGACCAAAGGTTTTTTTTTATGATTTGAATTTTCTTTCCTAAATGTGCATATAAAATAATGAAATCTAAACTAAAAGAGAAAATGAACAAAAATGAGAAGAAATCGGCTTACTTTTACTAGTTTTCTTCTTCCAACACAGCGGCTCCGCCTAGCTCCATCACTTTCTTCCTATTTCTAACAACCTTCTCTTTTTTTTTTTTTTTTTTTGTTTAAGTTGATTAGAAGAGGGGAAAATGTATTGTTTGGGTGTTTATATAATAGGAAAGGGATAAAAAGGGTGAGATGGATTAATTTAGATGACATGACAACCTTGGAGGGGGAGGAATCTCCCCATCCATGTTCATAGTGGCCATGTGGGCACCCTTATTCCCTTTTCTATTTTTTTACATGCAACCCTTTTTATTTGATCGGGCCTTTCCTTTATTGTGAAATTTTAATCCTAATTTACTTTTTTTTTCTTCTTTTTTTATATTTATTTTATAATATTTAATTTAATTAAATTAATTTACAAAATTTAATATTTTCTAATTATTTTTTAAGTTAATTAGTTTTCTAACTTTCTTAATAAATAATTTTTTTTTTATTTTTATAAATTTTAATATTCTCTAATAACTTTTAATTTAATTTATTTTATTAATTACGAGTTTTAACATATATATTTTTTAAAATCCTTTCCTAATTTATTTTAATTTTCTAAATAAAGTTCTAATCTCCAAATAATTTTATTTTAAATTTAATTTGTTTAACGAATTTTTTTAATATTCTCCCAAATTTTGTAAATAAAATTCGGTGTTCGATTTTCGAGCTAGTATATAAATCGTATTTAAGAGTACACAGGGTAGACAATAAAGATTTATTATAAGAGAGCTATGAATAAATGTGCAGTTCAGGATCAATAAGGAATGATTATAAACTCTATTTCATGGTTTATATGATTATAACTATGATTGTAGTTATGATTTATAGAAGCATAACTATGACTATGTCTATGTCAATAGTAGAAAATATCATTTTCTTCCATGATTGTGACTGAATGATATCTCATATGAAAAAAATAATGAATTTAGCATGTGCGTTGGTTTTATTTGATGAATGATTAAAATTTATTGTAATATAAATATGTATGTGGGGGAAATGTACTTTATATGTGATTATGTGCAAGTAATGTAATTATACGATTGTATTAACGAGAATGAAAATTGATCAAAATTGCATATTTAAAGTTGAGTTGTGAAATTGTGGATGTTTCATGAAAGAATTGGAGTATATATGAGAGAGATAGTAGTTAGAGATTGATATATAATAGTATGAGCATTGG